CCATGCTAATGGGTTTCGAGAATGAGGTTGGAGGTCGGCAAGGTGACTATTTGGGTTGGAACTGAAACACGATCAATCAGCTGAGCTGTCAAGCCATATAGAAGAAGTGAGAAGGTGGGGCGGATTGAATTGTTATCATATAGACACTGGAAGCAAAGAGACATGATAAGAGTTAGTAGCACGTATAAGATAAGAGGAGCCACTGCTACTACTGGAAAACACAATGTGCACTGTTTAGATTTTATAAGATTTTAGATACTTGCCGAGCGTCATTGTCTCAATTTTGAGTTACGCTGATTCCTTTTTGCTAGCTTCTTGCTGCTTTAAGGTTGTGCCAACATGTGGCAAATCTCATTCATTATTGTCATTTTTGGATTATGTAGAAAAGTGCACCTCTTCCAAAGCTGCGTTGCCGAGTTGGCTAACAGTCCCTGGCACAACTTGGAGGAGGTTTGCACCCTTCCCAAAGATCAAATCGGAAAACCCTTGCCCCCTTTTTAGTGGACACTGATGTAAACGATGTTTGTGAATCAGGAATTGGAAGCCCTCCTAGCGCTGGAACGACGGGTTACTAACAGTTACTATGCGCTGCTAATTTAGTGAGATCAATCATTGATGAGCCAAGGTCTTGCACAACGTTGAGGAATTTCAATCAGCACCCTTTGTGAAGAAGATCGGCTTTGACTGGGAAGAGGGACACACTTACTTAGATATAGAGTTGGACAATACTGCCATTTGCTCGGTACGGGATGACATTGTGATGATGAGCAGCAAATCGGTACACCAATCAAACTCATTGGGATTCGAAGTCCTGGAGGACTATGATGCCCCGGCTTTGCCTGCTGGCATGGTGCCTATGGGTCCTTTGTTGAGGCTCTGGCCTGAAAACGTGACCTTCTCTGAAGAAGTTCATGTAGTCATGCCCGTGTGTCGTGGTGCGAAGCATGCTTGGTGCACCACTGATAGTGGCTGGAAGCAGGTGCCTGTTCACATCAGACAGAACATCATGATCACCTCTTTACACCACTTTTGTAGTATGCAGCCTGCTGGTGAACCGGTGGAAATAAAGGCTTTGGGTTACATCAAGCAGCCAAGTGCAAAGATAGTCTTGGCACACGTTGAATGCCACGACTGTACGAAAAGACTGAGAAACCGTGAGAAAGATCCTGATATTCTCGAGGACTTTACCAAATGCAGAGATCCAGAGCTGCTGGACGAGCGTAACGATGGGGATACAGTGGAGCTCTCGCAACCAGGAGCTTTCCAAAAGACGATCCAGTTGAAATTTCAGCGCTTTCCCTTTGTCTCTCCAAAGCTCTCAGCTCGGTCTGGGAGTTTCAAAGTTCAAATTGATGATGAAACCTGTGAGTTTCAACTTGACCGAGATGCGGACAGCGCAGAGGTAGCTCGTCCCAGACAACATGCATCCCCGCAAGTTGCATCAGAGCAGACATCGACAGGTTCAGCAATCCACCACCCACCTGAGGTCAGGCTGAAGTGGGAAGAGCCTGTTGTGATTGAGGTGGATCTTTCAGAGCTGCTGACAAAGATGGACCCGGGGTTGTACCAAGTCCTTGCCCAAGAAAGGGGAAAATGGCATCAAGTCTCCGAAGATCTCTTTCTTCACATCTGGACAGATGCCAATATTGCTAGAGCGCAGGTCGCACAAAGGTCTTTGTGCTTGGAGCATGTCGAGCAGGTCACGTCCGACTTGGTGCGAAGAATCTGTGTTGCCTTGGGCCTGGCCTTCTCTTCTGACATGGCTAAGAAGCTTACCAAGATCGTCCGCTGCAAACAGGCAGGAAGTCAGCAACACCAACAGACTGGGTGAATATGTGTGTGGACCACCCAAAGATCCCTGCAAACAAGAACTATAGTAATTAGATGAAAACGGATTGGTTTGGTGGTCCCGCTCTTTTGAGGCAGATTGGTAGTGCTTAAGGATCTTCCAGATATACTTTATCAATCAAAGACATCCATCGGAAAAAGTTGCCAAACAGCTTTTCTCCCTGTTGGTGTACATGTGCACACACGTTCTGCGCACAGGTCACAGATTTGCGATGGTATGACATCTTTAGACACCGTGCGTTCAGTACGATCAATGCCTGTGCCAAGCGTGGTGCTAGCCAAATTTTACTGGTGGGCGTACAGCCAAAGATGCTGAACTCAATCACTGGGGAAGAGCTCCGCTGTCTTGACAAAGACCTACAGCATGCATGTGAGAAGAAGAGCTTTGACTTATATCACTTGCTTAAAGGTCTGGAATGCCCCATTGACAGACTGGAGGAGGAGCTCCAGGAGTGGCTGCGAAAAGATGCAAAGCACCAGGTAGTGATCGCATCCTGCTGCGAGGACGATCAAGAAGCAGCCCGACATATTTGCAAACGCCTCAATGACGGGCTGGATGTATTGGAATACGTTGATGCGTTGAGTCCAGAGGAAGTCATGTGGAATCTGAGCATCAGTGCCATCAAGAAGGTCGTTACGCAACTTGACCAAGATGGATTTGGGATGCCCGCGGAGAAGTTCGGCCAAGCCATGAGGATGCTTGGGATGAGTGCGACAACGATGAAGGCCAGAAGAAATTGTTTCAATTGGGTTTCGGCCTGCCTGTCACGGTTCTTCCTGTTGCTTCTGATTAAGGTCCACTTTTAACTCCCGGTATGACACTGTTCGGATTTATTTGTTGCCCAGTTCGTAGGATCCACATATTGTTCCCAGTGCCTCCGACAGAGGTGTCAACACCATCGACCAAACCGATTGGCATCCTTACCCTGCACGACCTTTTGCTTGAAGACCTGAAGAATTCGGCTACAGATCCTTACGACATGCTCCGGAAGTTCTTGAGCCTTTTGGATGGAGATTGCAAGGGCACCATGTCTGTTGCGGAGCTGAAGCGTTTCCTCGGAGTTGGAGGTATGCGATCGGAGAATGAGCTTGAGGCCACTGTTTCAGAAAATCGGCAGGCTGAGATCCCACTTTCAAAGCTCCAAGAATTCTTGTTTGATCCAGAAAGTCAGCAAAAGCTGCTGAACGATCAACAAACGGCCAGTCGAATTTCTTGGGCGGTGGCTGACCGGAATGCCTTCCACAACTTTGTTGGACCTTGGAGTTCCATACGTTCTGGACCAAAGCCGTCTACACGGAAGACTCCTCAAGGTGCAGCGACTATTTCTGGAGAAGAGTCCCACAAAGATTCCGTGGCTGTTGAAAGAGAGGCTGGCAGAATCTCAGTGCCAATACCCGTGGCTCCTGCAAATGGCAGGCACTTGTTCCTTTCTGGTCGATTCAATAATCCAGAGAGCAAGAGCTACATGAGAGCAGTCAGAGCGGAACTCGAACGGTTGGGAGTCCAAACTTACATGGTGGAAGGACAATCACCTAGTGGTGACTTCGGCCAAGCGACCACGAAGGGCCTTTACTATGCCCTTGCCATGGTGGCATTTTGCAGTCATGACTACGGAGCCAAAACCACCGCACGCTATGAGACCTACTTTGAGTTGAAAACGGCGCACGAAAAGTGCATTCCCATTATTCCAATTCAACTGTGCGACATTTTTCCACCCGAGCCGCCCGATGAAGAGGGCCGATGTCAAAACTTTCTGGTCTTTGGGACCGGCCTTATCAGGATCACAGATGTAGGGTCGAAGGATCCTACCAGGGTCGCAAAGAACATCCAAAAGACCTGGCTGACTTTGACACGGCGTTAAAACAAGTTCGGATGTGCTCAGGACCCAGAATACAATAGAATACAACCTGATTGAAACTGAGTTAAACAGCACGAGAACATGAGCTATCTATTTTTCTTGACCAGTTACCATTCCTATGGCTGTAGCCATCAGTGTTCAAAGTCCATCAGATTCGGAGGAGCTGGAGGTGCGGAGAAGATTCCAATTGTCATGCTTGGTTGACTACAGGAGGTCTTGGGTTTGAAGTAGCCAACCGAAACAAGAACCTCAAATCAGGGCTTTTCTGATTGATCACTTTGTTGGGGTTGCAGACCTCACCAGGATGGAAACACAATTTGTAAGAATCTTACGTGTGGATCCTCAGGAAGAGTGGGGTTCCAATCTTCCGTGCGCTCTGGAGGCAGATCGGACATGCACGACAAGGATGCAGGTGTTACAACCAATCTTGGACCTCCGTGTTTAAAGCGTGGAGTACCATCTCTCAGATGGGATGCCGAACTGCGGGTGTTTCTGTTTCCCAGTCCAAGCGGAGGTATAGGATCCAAAATCAGCCATTATTCGAGGGTCAGCATGCATTTCAAGCCATTTCACGGGTGGGCATGCATTGCTGTGTTGTTCAGACTTTGCTGGTGGGATCAGGGCAGTCAAGATCCGATATGGATATGAGTATGTCAGCAAAAGCAGTGGACCTGAGTGTTGCAGTTGAGATTTTTTTGCGTAATAGTAATTGTTGTCAAACAAATTACCTTGTTCCAACTTCCATCGCCAAAAGTTTCTGAGCCAGATAGCGCTAGCCTCAGGGTCGTTTGGAGTCCCAACACCGTCCGTCGTTTGGTCTCATCATGTCTTATCAGACTGCTGTCTTTTTCAACATCAAAGAAGGCTGCTCCGGTTTTTCGTTTCAGGAGCAGCTCAGGTTGGCCGGTCTTACACAGCCCATAGCCCTGCAGTCCCTGCAGTTCCATTCCTGTCACATCGTCAGACCGTCCACGACCTTCAATCCTTCACCTCGAGTGCTTGGATTGCTCCCCCAACTTGCCCAGTGATGAGCTGCCTGAAGATCAAAATATGTTTGCCTCGGTCTCCAAGATGAGCTGCCTCTATGATGAAGACATCTTCCTTTGCCCATCTCGAAGGACCCAAGAGTGACCTGACTGTCTTTGATTTCCACCTCTCGTTCTCAGTTGACAAAAGCTCTCTAGTTCGGTTTGCCACCTGGCACTCGCAATTGGCAATCTCACCTTCAAGTTACCTTCCACTTCATGAGTTCCATTAGGGTCTCCAGTCCCCCACGTATGCGAGACGTTTGCTATGACCAGCTCCTCGGTTGCTGGGGACGTATGTTTTTGCTCGTCCGCAAATGCCAGAGCTCAGAGCTTCAATATGCGAGAATCCATTTGGATTGGTCTCGAGGTTGGTTTGGAAACGGCTCCTTTTTCGCGGAAGACTGAAGACTTGGAAGACTTTGAGATGGATGTGGAAAATCAACTTCTGGAAACCTTTAGATCTTGGACTCCTCTACCCCCTCACAGCCACCGTGCCAGTAAGCCCTGCGTTCTCTTGAAGTGGGTCCCAGGAAAAGTAAGTAATTACTTCAGAAGGGATGTTGTTGGAGTAACTTGTGACTACAGAGGGGGCTTTGGTTCTCTCTAGGATAGATGCTTTCTGTGTCGAGGAGGGCCGCTTCAGCTTTGCCGTACCAAGGACAACTCCACCTGGAGCTTGATGTGAGCTCGGCTCTTGTAGCTATAGGCTGTTTACTGGAGCCTGGCTGACCGGAAAACAACCCCGTAAGCACTTCTTGTTTTTCTTTTTGCACTGCCTGGACTATCCTAGATCTGGAGAAGGTAGAACTAACTTGCCTGCCTCTCCACATCTTGCTTCTCCGGCTCCATGACATTTTGTTTCATGTGTTGTTTGGCATGCGGGCCTTTGTATGACCATGACAACAGTTTGGAAGAAATACACATGAACATGCGTGTTTGATATGCTTCAGTCTAGAGCACTAGTTTTTTGATGTTTTTTGTGCCTTTGCAGGCTTCGAACACACCAAGAGTCATCCACCCTACCAGTTTCTTCGGGACTTCTTTTTCACGAGGCTAGGCGCCACAAATAGCCCGCTCTGAGCGGGTTTTTGGGATCTCACCGAAAAAAAGGCAAAACGATAAACCGCGAATCGTGTTGAAGCCGGTGCTGTGGCAGCCTGTTCGGTGAGAGACATAAGTTTGTCTCCAAAATTGGTCTGAGCGGCTTGAGAACAAATGCGAGTTGTGCTTTTCACTGATTGCCTGTCAGTGGGTAGAAGCCAAACTGGACAGACATGATGCAGTGTTAGGGAATAAAGGAAGGGTTCAATACAATTCAGCTTCAAGGTAGAAACTCAAGGACGGACTGACAGAAATCGGCCGCAACGTGAAAGCAGCAGGAACCCATTTTTGGCAAGATATTGACAATTCCAGTGTTTGAGTGCATGTGTGCTGTTCAACTAGCTTATGATCATCACCGCTGGCCTGGCTATACCTCGTGTCTTGCTTTCAACTTGAGATTCTTGAACCAACACATATCCGCACAGCCATTTGCAAATCTCCTTGTGACAGGTTTAAAGGAATGTCAGCCTGGCTAACTTCCTCACCCAGACCGAGAAATCAAGGCATGGTCTCTAAACATCCTTCAAGACAAGCGATACGTTTTGCACAGAGAGCAAGCGGCATAGCATCACCCTTCTTCGTACCTTCACGAATGCCAATTGACCGGAGGAAGTGGTGCCACATTGGCCTGCTGGACGTACAAAGACCGTAGATTCTCAGAGCCATGGCGTCGCCACCCCCCTCCACAGGCTGTCAACCTTGCTCGTTGCTCTTTGGTGCCGAAAAACATATCGCGCGATGTCACATGATGTTGCATGCACGGGGGAATTGGCCCGCCCATTGAAGTCTTACTGATGGGTCAATGTCTGCATGAAAACAAGGAGACTTGATCTGCCTTCATCGATCCATGGCTCCGTGTCAGGATCCATGAATCCTCCGTGTCAGGCGCCGCACCGCTGCGCGCTGTCTTTTTCGATCGCGGAAAGTCCGAACGGTTCGAATCGTCCGAACGGGCCCGGGTTTTCAGTGTGGATTGCACACCTCCTGCCTGTCAGGGCATCAGGGACTTTGGATGATCGAAATCAGAGATTTGCCATGGTTTGCCACGCCCTGCTAGGCGTAAAGAGGTTTTGCCAGCAGTTTCAGTAGCGGTGCAACCTGGTATACTCAAGATACTCAAGTTTTTTGGCGTGCGAATGACGCCTCCATGCCGCTTAGAATGGAACCTAGGTCATCAAATGTGCCAGTAATGGTTTTGCACAAGCTGTAGCCCAGCTTCTGTAAATGGCCAAGTAGATGCGGTGGACGAAATTGCTGTCTTGGTCAAAGATTGCAGTCGTCTCCGTTGTCTAAACCAAAGCTGACACTTGCCGCCCAACGGCCTCTCCATATCGGATTCCTCAACCAAGCCTGCCAGGATCACCATGATGTAGATGACGTATTGGTTGGTGGCCGGCATCTCTAGCACCGGGAGAGTCTAAAGACAGATGTATCAGATACATCTGTCTCCGCGTCGCTCCTACTGCCCTTCCATCACAGGAGCTCTCTCACCTCATGGGTGCCACTCCGGACAGCGCCTCTGGCCCAAAGCCCACCATCCATCTGCTCTTCCCGCATACTTGCATTAGCCGAATCATTAGCCGAATCACGCCACAGACTGCTAATAACCAAAAGGAACCAAAACTTCCACCAAGAGCCACAATTGCTCCTCACTCCATCACCTGGCACTCTGCAGGAGCCATGCACGATGTGGTCAATCATCACAGCGAGGAGCCTTCCCCAACCACCGCTCTCTCCAGACGCAAAGTCTGGCTTTGCCTGGACTTCACGAGTACAGCTTGCCACACTCGTCGCAAGGGATTGAGGGCAAACACTTTGCTCTGCCTGCAGTTCTTGGAGAGCGTTGGAGATCTGGCCTGACACGTCCTGTTGTAGCTGCTCCAGCTTCGATGTGGTTTCCGTGCCATTGGAATCGGAGTCGTCGTCGGAGGAGGAGAGGATGATGTGAACTCCTCCACTGCATCGATCAGCATTCGTCATCCAAGGATCCTCCTTCGGAGCCGTCGACTGGCCTGCGATGTGTTTCGTCTGGACAGATGCAATCACTTGATCAATCTTGATCAACGTCTTTACGCCTGGGTGCAAAAGAGCAAAGGGTAATATGACCTCTCCATGATCCGCAGTGAACACCTGCGGATGAGCGATCTGAGCAACCAGCCAAGAAATGTCCTTGCCAGCTCCCTTCAGTTGCGTGGGCTTCAGCAGCTGGAGCACCCCACCGGCAAGGGGAGCGAGACATAGACATCGTTGGGCTAGCAATCCACAAATACCTTCGAAGGGAGCAACGCTTTCACCCTCACTCCAAACTCTTCATGAAGGTGACAAATGGTGATCTTGTCATGTGACTTGCATGCCACTTCAACCGCTGATCGAGAAGCCTGTGACATCCACAACACTCGGAAATCAGGATTGGCTTCCCTTCCCGACACATCCCGGGGTTCCACATAAAGTCCTCCAACACCAGAAAGACGCTGAAGAGGAAGGCTGCGATCCACTGGGACAGCAAACAGCTGGGCACCTTTGGGCGATGCCTTGCCACCCACTGGGACCCACTGAAAGAACCATCCCCAAACCTTTAAGAGCTGCTTGTCCAACATCCTTGTGCCACTTCGACAGAAACCACAATTATGCCGAATTTGCAGGTGGCCAAAGCCAGAAAATGTGTTTGCAGGATCGCAACCAGACGCTGCTGGAATTCTTGCCAATCGCCTTGCCACTCATCTCGGTACAGATGGAGTTTCAAAGTGCATGTAGGAACAGTATCAACTCGAACTGCCCCCGTCAATGACTTCTTGGAAATGGCTAAATCTCCCATCTGGATCAAAGTGCTTGTGAGCAAAATGGGCTCCGACGTGGCCTTGTACTCAGCAGCAAAACGATCTTCTCCTGATGGCAAAAGCCCTTGAAGATCCGCCGGCACAACTGTGACCGACAAAAAACCCAGAGCATCCAAAGAAATTGCGTTTGGCCGCCTGCAGGAAACCCAACATCTGGGATGGCGAGACAATCGCCAAAGGTCTGGCATTGGGCACTCCCACAAACTGGGCTGCTTTGCTTTCAATGTAGCTCTGCAATTCATCCTCTTTGACCCACCTAAAAGTTTTGCCTTATCAGTGAGAACTTTGAGCTTCGCCAAGGATTGTCCGATTGTTTGGCTTCCTCCAACTGCTGAAGGAAGATGGCCTTAAGAGCTTCTCCAATCCTTTGCTCAACCTTCTCTTTCCACACTCCTTTCTCGCAGAGGAAGGTCTTTCAGCCATTCTGGAATCACCTGAAATGAATTGCCTTCACCAGTCGGCGCAAAAGTCCTCCACTTGAGCAATTGATACCATGGCTGGGTAGTTTCGTCAGCGTCAATGATCCCAAGGAGCCATGTGGACAATCGCAAGTGCCGATAGAGTCCTTTCTCTGAACAAGATTGGTTCAGCTCCAAATAAGTCTTGCACAACGAACCTCAGCCGAGATAGTTCCAGTGCGAGCGTCAGGCAAGAGCACCAGAAACGTGTCCTCCGTCCATCTCACACGAGCAGCAAACCAATGTCACCCTCCTCTGCCTGATGCTTGAGCAAAACATCTCTGGATGGCAAAACCTCAAAAGAAAGCCTTGGAAGAGTTCCCCCTGATTGAGCCTCCATCACCGCCCACACAACCTGCATAGCGGAAACAGCATTGACCAAGACACTCAACATCGCCTTCTAGTTGGCCAATGAAGCCATGAAAGGGGGAAAGCCCAAAGCCAATGCAACCTCCTTCGGATGAGGACGACGGCATCCAATGTCATCATGAGCTGATGTCACGACCGGTCCACGAAGACCTAAGGTTTCCAGCCTAGAATACTTGAAGCCACCTTCACGGCAACCACATGGACAGCTTCTCGTAGCAGATCCTTCTGAGTGAAGAGCTGGCATACTACCCTCAAGGCTAAGAATCCTGTCCCGCCTCATGAGCTTGTTGTCAAAGTAAAGAGAGATCTCTTCCGGAGTGAGCCGGAGGTCTTCTTCTTTATTCAAAAGGCCAAACCGGATGCCACCCAAAATGGTCTCCAGTGTCGCTATCTGCACGAAGTGCAAGCTCCGGGCTTTGCTTTGATGAACGCGGGAGTTCGAGTCAATCTCGATGAGGAGTCCACACTCCAAAAGCTCTGTGTGATTGTGCCAGGCGCAACAGAGCTCGGAGCCTCAGGCAGGGCCTGAAACTCCTGCGGGCTTGAATTCATTTGACTGTTTACTTTCCTCCCACCCACGTGCAGTTGAGGCACGTAAGGGAAAGGGTGACCTGGTAAAAGGGTGACCTGCTTCCTCCTGTTCTGCGTCCTGTTTGCGCTCCACAGGTGCTCCAAAGTCACGAATTACCTCAAGGCAGAGCAGCACCAGGGCAGCGCAGAGTAGAGAGTGAGTAGAGAAAGTATAAGGGCAGCACCTCAGGTTGCGGCCATTTTTTGCAAATCATCGATTTCCTGGGCAATGGTGTTGATGTTAACGGACTTGCATGCTGTTGACCCCATTA